CAGCAGTATATTGTTTGGAAAAGACTGAATCTATTTAAGTGAGTGAGGCAAATGATAAATCCACCCATGAGTTATAGTACAACAGGAATATGGTCCTTATGGGTAAGCATCATTCCTAAGTCAGTGTCTCACCTTGACATTTATTTTCCGAAAATTACAAGCTTACCCTTTGGACAGCGTTATGAGAGCATTCATCTTCAGCAAGGTTGCAAGCCTTTGACATAATGTCTGCCTTGGGCAATAAAGAACTTTAATTTCTGGGCATGAAAAAATCTATGCAAGAATGAACTGCATAATGTGAACATTCATTGCTGTGTTCACAATCAATAAACAGCCAAACATGGCATGCATGAATGATATGTGCTGAATAACGTGTGCTTCCAGTGCGACAACATCCCTTTTCAAACCATATGGCTGTATAATCTTTTCTTTAAAAAACTGCTTTGAGTAAAATTCATCATCTTTTCAAAAGTTATGAGTTGTGGGAATACTACATTTTATTGCTACTTAGACTAACTGAATAAATTAATTTAGATTCATCTTCACTTTCTTATTCACATGGGAGTTCTTCATCTTAATCCCTTTCTCTTTATCAATTTCTAATATTTAAAATATCTATAGCTTGAATTAGTTCAAAGTGATTTGAATGCAAGTTGGCAGCAAAAGAATTACCATCATTGATTGAGTATATTATATCATAGTATTAAGTTATTTGGTTTGCCTCATAATTGCTCCACAAGAAATAATGCCCATGCCACTTAGGTAGTATAGCTTTGTACCAACCCAGATTACAGAGAAATGTGGTATTACTTGCTCATAATTCCATAGATATAAAGGTGTAATAAATTGAGACAGTTGGACTCCAGAACCAGCTGATGTGCTGAGCATGTTATACTGCTCTGAATAATAAAAAAAAATTAGAAAACATAAATATGAAAAAGACCCTTATTTCTACTACCTATAAATAAATAGACTTGGATATTATTACATAATAGCATTTTCTAGAGCTTATATATTTCTTAAAGTGAGATTATTCTTTCAAACCTAAGTGTATTTCAAAAAAATGATCATCTTCTTAGTTTAAAAAGAGCTACAGTAATTGAATTAGGTTAACAAACACACCAAAAACAAATAATTTCCTTGTATTTATTCCTTTATTAACTTAATTTGAAGTAGTCTTTATTTTTATCTAATATTTTTAATTTAGCTATATTTTTCATTAATATTTAAACATTTATAAAGGAACTCTAGAAACATAATGAATATATTAGCCTAAAATGTCAAGAGGAATTTTGTAAGACTCAAAATTATGAAAGTGAAAAAAAAGTAAATAAGCCTTTGGATAAAGAAGAATTTTATAATTTAAAAATCATTAAAAAATACAGAAATAAAAAGATCAACATGTTTATATTTTACATAAAATATTGTGGATGTTGGGAGGGGTTGTAACTTAGTGGTACAGCACTTGCCTAGGATGTGTGAGGCACTGGGTTTTATTCTCAGCACCACATATAAATAAAATAAAGGTTCATTGACAGCTAAAAAAATATTTTAAAAAATATTGTGGATGTTAAGGTCTAGCACAACTTTAAAAGACAAAAAATTAGAAATTTTTAATAATAAATTGAAAACAATGAAAATTAATATTTTTAGTATATTTCAAAGTATACAAATGGTAATAAAACTGTGAATGTCATTAAACAAAATGGCAAAATGTGGAACTAATTATCAATCTGATAAATATAAATAAAATGAAATGATAGCATATTAGCAATCCAAAAATCAGAATAAAGCTATAAAATTCCATGGTCCTATCAAACTGATAAAGCATCACTACCTAGTCTTTACTACTGACATTAAGAGTGTAAAATAATTCATAATTCTACTAATGGTGCTAGCATATGATCATATAACAGCATCATTTCTATTTTAACTGTCCTCCCCAACTATAACCTATCCCTTTATCTACAAATACCTACGTGCATTCAGGGCAAACCCATTCATTCCTAAGCATGGACCAATAGAAACCAAGCTTGTGCTTCTGTATACATCAAATAGCCACACCCAAAAAGAATACTTCTGTTATAATGTAGATAAAGAAGCTGCAAGATTATCCCTTTGCCTACTTGAAAGTTTAAGATGATGCATGAGGTGGCTATGGAGTAAACATCAGCCTAGGCTACTCTGCAGAGAGTAAGAAAATTGAGAGACAGAATAAAAGAAAATAGAAAAGGCGAACATCTGTGCCAAATGGCTTCCCATTTTCTCCTCAGTCTTTTCCTGTGGCCTGATTCTAGAAAATTCCCTTGTTCCCTGATAATATGCAATGTGTTTTGCCCAACTTGTTCATAATATTTGAAAACAAAATCATAAGAGAACAAATTATTTTAAAAATGATAAAAGTTTGTAAAACACGCTGTCTACCCCTACATCTCAAAATCAATCTTTAAAGGGAGCATGCAAAAAAATCCTATGTTATATCATAAAAATACATCATTAAAATATTTTGGATGGAAATGTTAATTACATTCTTGTTTACAAAAGTAAAAAAAAGAAAATAACACAAATACCAAAAATAAGTGAAAAAAAATTTTTTTCAGGTTTTTTGTTTTATCTTAATTTATTTAACTGTGTACCCCCATTTAAGAGCATACAATTCTAATTTTAATGAAAAAAATTTAATTGCTACTTATATACAATTCAATATTATATGAGTATTAAAATTGCTTACAAGACTTGTAATAAAATTGGTAAATAAATATCTTATGATATTGGGAAGATTATAATGGAAATATCTGTTTCTTAGCTTGAGAGCATTTTAACTCTATCATTGAAGTTTGCATTTCATAGACAGGTGTTTAATTTTTTTTTTCAGTACTAGAAATTAAACCCAGGACCTTGCACATGCTAGATGCTAAGCCCACTATCCCTGAGCCACAACCCCAGCTCTTTGAGGCAAGGTCAACCAGGTTGCCCTGGCTGGACTTGAATTTGTGATCCTCTAGCTTCAGCCTTCATAGTAGCTGGGATTATAGGTGGTTGCCAAAATGCCTATCTTAAACTTTTTAAATTACTTTATTAAAGCAAGACTGTCTAATATTGCAATTTCATAATTTAATTATTGTGATAAATTACTAGGAAATTTTTTATTATTTGCTAGTCAGATTTGATGGTATTCCATTATTACTTTATTGATATAATTTACAAAAATATTCCCATGATGTTTGTAAAATACTAGTAAAATTATTAAGGGTGATTTTCAAATTGTGATCACCATAAATATCATATAGCTTAATCTTTTCATTAAGTTATTCTCAATAAAGTTATTTGCATTTAGTTTCTTAGCATACCAATTTTATAAACATACTGGAAGACCATGTTTTTATATACTTAAGTCTGAAAATTACTAAAGTTCTGCAAAAGTATAATAAATGCTTTTGGCTATATAAATCTTCATCTCATTAGAGCAGATTAATAGGGATTATTATAATTATTATAAAAGAGCAGATTAATACAGAATGGAAAAATATATCTTTTTAGAATAGTATTTTTAGTCAATATCTAATGATTTAGGCAATCTTTAACAAATTTTCCTACAAACTATCAATTGGTTACTAACTAATTTTTCTAGTTTTTAGAAGCTGTATTATTTTCAATATTAATGTTAAACTTAACCTAAAGCAACCAATTCTAACTTATCTTGAAATATTCCATAATAAAAAACTTCAGAGTCTAATGAAGCATGAACTTCACATCAGTAATGTCTAATGTCTATCAGATAACTCTATTTTATCCTAGCATATATACTCTAAATAATATTGCATTTACTCAGTTATAGATAGAAATCATGATCATTAAAAATCTTGACACTTATATTTATCTTTGAATCAACTGGTTTTGGTATTTGTATTTTTTTCATTCCCATATAATGTCAATATATTCGGTGTGAGAAGTCTGCATTCAATGCTACCATGGTCACTCCAGGCTCTGGCCCAGACTTCAGACCCTGGCACAGTCTGGCTTAATGAGGATGATATGACACATAACCCACAGAAGTGCTGTGAGATTTGCTTGACATAGCTATAGAAAGAATCCTTGAATACTGTCAGCATTCTAGTTAAAACTTAGTAAATGTTAGTGGTTGATGAGTAAATTGAAATCAAGGAAAAGATGTGGACACTCATGTTTGTCTTCTCTGTACATTACTACATTTTATTCCTTTTTTTCCATTTTCCACTTAAGTATAGTATCAATTTAATTACTTGTCACAGTTTTAAAAAAATGCGCATAGTTGGGCTGGGGATGTGGTTCAAGCGGTAGCGCGTTGGCCTGGCATGCACGGGGCTCTGGGTTCAATACTCAGCACCACATAAAAATAAAAAAATAAAGATGTTGTGTCCACTGAAAACTAAAAAAAAAATAAATATTAAAAAATTTTCTCTCTCTCTCTCTCTCTCTTTCTCTCTCTTCAAAAAAAAAAATGTGCATTGCTGTGTTTAAATTAGTAACAACCAACATATTCATTCTCATATTTAGTTGCATCTGCTTTTCTCAGCAATTGTTCTCCAATAACACTTAAATATTCAAATTCTTAACATTACATAGTATGTATTTCTCTTGTTTCACGTTATTTTTCAGGTTCAATGATAATTTAGCCAAAAAGGGGGAAAAAATGTATAAATTTGTAATTACGTTTGCTAGTAGCCAAAAGACACCTACTATTTTTCAATTAATTGTAACATGATTTCTTTGAGAGACACTTTTTCAAAGTTCTTGAGTCCTCTCCAAAATATCCAGATTAGTAAAGTTGTCAGAGTTTCAGATTTCTCCCTTCCCCTCAAGCTATCCCCCAGAACCAGCTTCCTTCTTGGGCATAGATATGTTTGGGTAAAAAAGGAAGACAGTTCAGGTTGATAAAGCAATACTCCTGGGAAAAGACTATTAACATGTATAAAGGGATTTCCTTGCAGTATAAATGCTAGCACGCGCCCTCCTGGTGCCTCAGAGCCTTCTTGATGTATATATGCAGGTAGGGAGAATTGAATCAGCCCTTTGATACAGTAATATAGTAAAACTTTCATTTGGGGAGCAGCAGTTCTTCTTATTTTTCTACTCTCTTGTGGGAATGAGTTGCCAATCTTTTACTCCGGCTGATACCTTTATACCTCTGAATTCTGACGCTTCTGCAACTCTGCCTCTGATAATGCATCACAGTGCTGCCGAGTGCCTACCAGTCTCCAACCATGCCACCAATGTGATGTCTACAGGTACTGACTCCTTTGACAGTTTCCATATGGCGAGACCTAAAATTTGCAGAATGAATGCTTTGACTCTTGCTACTGAATAATCTCTTTGCTTCTTTTATATTTTCCCTTCAATTTCATTTGATTTGTTAAATATTAAACATATTTTAAAAAACAAAATGCCTACAGACTTTTAAATGAAATATTAAGGAAATCATCTAGATTATTATTGATTTTACTACAATAACGAAAATCTCTTTTAGACATATGAAAGCAGTGGGCAGGATTTTTTTTTTAATCTGAAAAATATTTGAGTGGAAACATTTATGTATAACAAAAAAATGAAGTGAGTATTCTAAAATAGTTTAATATTTACTAGGTACTACTTCTTTTTATTAAAGATTTAGTTGGTTTTCAAATCACAGGTGGAACTGTTTAAAAGTCATAAACTTGATAATAAATACAATTGAATAATTTACAATGCCAACAACAGTAGATTTTAAGGAATAAAGTAATTAAATGTTTTAATAAACATATCTTAAACATAATATAAAATTACTAGAAGTAATATAACATTTATAGTACATTAACTTAGTTAAATTTCTCAAGACTGAGCTCCACAGAGACTATATAAAAAAGCTCTTATGATTTTCTCATCTGTTTTAAATAGAAATTAAACTTGGGAATTTAAATATTTTGTCTCCCCACAATCAGCCAAATACGTATGCTTTCTTACTGCATTAATTCCTTAATTATATGGTAACAAACTGCTTCAAAGTTGATTTATTAATGGATAAAGGTTTGAATAGAGTATATCTCTTCCATTAAGTAGTAATGCACTATTCACTTTTTTTTGTTCTAGATGTAATTTGCTTCACATTTAAAAATAAAATAAAATTTTGTACATCTAGAATCAAAATTTGCGTTGATAAATATAGGTTCTGTTTTTAAAGATGGAAGGTTTAACTTTCGAAACAAAAACTTTAGAAGAATTTTTAAAAATCTAGAGATTGGATACTTGGACTTTTATAAAATCACTTAATATAGGGTTTTTTTTCATCTAAAAAGGTTCCTATAATTAAACTAAAAAGACAATATTGAAAGTATCCTCAAACATATTTTTTAAAAATAGAACCAAGTGTTTCATATAATCATTTGTTATATTATTATACATATATTGTTATATACATATAATATTACATATATAGTTACATATACTTTTTTACATATAGTATAAATCAATATAAAAATTGCCATAGTTAATCATATATTTTAAATAATAAATCATTTTACAGATTGGGTATAAGAACAATATATTGCTTCTTTTAACTACTGCTGTATCAAGAAGTTTTAGTGAACATGAAAATGAACTTTAGAATTGAGGTAGTGATCTAGCAAAGAGATCTAATTTTAAGCTCAAAACCCTACTTATTTGTTTGATTTTAGGCACAAGCAGAGATTTTTTTTTTTTCTTTCTTTCTTTTTTTTTTTTTTAGGAAAGCAATGATTATGCAGAAAGGAAGGAGTATAGGCTTCTCAAGAGTAAGAAGCCTATTTATTTAAGAAACAAATACCAGAGCATTTAGTAAATGAGCTTATTCTTTACCCAACTTCATAAAACCAGAATAAAAAATTATTTAAAAGTTGAAAGTAAAAAAGTTTCATTCCAGCAAAAATGGTTAAAAAACCTTAGACTGTTTTAAATTGATTAATACTTTTTTTGTGAAGTTATATGTATCTAATTGTCTATGAATTGGAAAAAACTAGTTTTAATTAGAAAATTTGGGTATTAAATGTGTTTATATTTATTTGTTTGATTACATAGTAAGATTTTGTTGTTATCTTTATATTGCAAAACAACTTCAGTTCTTTTGATGTCAGTTATAAAATGACTTTCAGACATTTAAAAAATTAAAGATTGTTCTATATTTAGACAAAATATATTTTTCTTTATGAATAGTCCTCAAGTCTTTAATCACTAGATTGTATCTTAATATTTATTTTTTTCCTATTTGGTACCAGGGATTGAACCCCGGTGTGCTTAACCACTGAGCCAAAGCCCAAGATTTAATTTTTATTTTTTAGACAGGGTATCGCTAAGCCCTTAAGTCCTCTTTAAGTTGCTAAGGTTGGTCTGAAATCGGCTATCCTTATGCCTCAGCCTCCCAAGTTTCTGGGATTTACAGGTGTGTGCCACCATGTCCACAGTCAAAGGGAAAGAGTATGGGCCTTCTGTTTTCAAAGGATCCTAGTCCTATACTATATGATATCTCATTTATTCATAAGATTGGTTTATATTATGATTATGAAAATCTACCACCTTATCCAGAATATAAGGGAAAAGTGAGAAAAATATATAAAGAAACATTGACAGTTTAATATTTGATAGTCCTTGCTCTTTGTCAACTTGATTTATATTTAAAACTTGATAAAATTTCAGTAATTCAAATTTCCATTAAAATACACATTGATTCTATGAAGCAAATATATACAAATAAGATTATGTTTACACAGAGCTTTATGTATATCTTCAATTGACAATGAACTTATTTTCCAATTGACTTTATCATAAAAATGGTTGAATAAATGTGTGCATAGAAAACCTGCATAAATACATCAAATCCATCATACCTTTTCACAGGTTTTGCTGAACACCCTGAAAGCAGGGATATTGTTACAATCGTATGCACTGGCAGGATACTGTCATTTCCTCTTCTGTGAAAGGAAGTTGTTAGGGAAATAAGCAAACCTACAGACTATTCAAGAGTCAATTTCAGTATTTATTCTTACAGAGAAAAATTTCTAGCACAACAATGTTATGAGGCTATTCTTGGTTGTTGTAATGTCTATATTGGATGGAAACTCCCCCAAAAGCCAGGATTTACACTGACCCGTCACCCTTTTGTGGGGTACTTGTAGCTATAGCACAGATCACAGGATAATTAATGAAAGTTATATTTTACTCTAATGCCTTAAGATCTCATTAGCAGAAGTGAAGTTTGAGCCCTAATTTTGCCTACTCACTAAAAAATTCTCCCCAGTGAAAAGAAATTATTGGCATATAGCTTTAAGAATGGCATAAATGTGTATCTTTGAAATGAACTGAATGTGTCTTGAATCCTCATACATTTTCTTACCAGTCCCGTCTATTTTGTCTTTGATCCAAACTCCTAAATGTTCGTGCACATATTTCTCTGTGACAACGTTGGGAAATACAGCAACAGGACTTCATTATTCTGTTCCTTCCTGTCATTATGGAAACCAGCCATCAACCTATGGAGTGATGGCAGGTAAGAAAAATTATCTTTGTATATGATATTGAATTGAGGGAAACTGATGAATTCTCTGGTCTTTTGGAAATGGTGACCAGTACATAACATAAAATTCTTCTGATATCTTAACCTTGAAATTTACTGGTAAAATCACCACTTATTGAGATGTTTCCTGATCTTTGATGTCCTCGGAGATCACAGAGGTCATATCTGATTGCTCTATTCTATATACCTATAAACTGTTGTCCTTTTAAACTCTTATGTTTGCCTTGCATTTTTTAATTTGAAAATTAAAAAATCAAACTGCCAATTGACACCTGAGGCTATTTCGGGCTTGCCTTCAATAGTTATACAGTAGCACTTACATTTAAATGTAAATTAATTGAAATAAAATAAAATTTAAAATCCAGTTCCCTCAGGTGCCCTAGCTACATTTTGGGTGCTCAGTTACCTCATGTGGCTATGGCTGCCATATCAGACATAAGAGATTTGTTGAACATCTCCCTCACCACAGTATTTCTTTTGAACTATTTGGTCCATAAAGATTAATAAGATACTGTCTGAAAGCTGACAGTAATCTTCGAGGACTTTCCTGATAGCTATTTGGGGCTTTGGTCACCCTTTCTGAGATGCTTGAGAGTCTTAACTGAGAATGAAATCAGTTAAGTTACATACTTATCTCCTCTGGATAAGTAAAGTATCACCATTTCAAGCATAATTTCTGATTTACTTAGGCTCATATGAACACATAGCATTTTTAAAATTTGAGTATTATAAATAGTATTTGGGTTCATTTTGGCAAAATAATATGTGCAAACAATTTGATTTCAATCTTCATTCGGTGCCCATTGCCTGCCCTCCTCCTTCCTCCATTCTGTCTCCTTTCCTCTATCGGTCGATCTTCTTCTCACTCCTTTATTTATTTATTTTTGATTGGAATTTTCTACAAATATGTACAGGTGAAATTCTTCTTGGTACATTTATATTTGTATGTAACACATTATTGTTAAATTCATTCTATATTTTTACCCTTTTCCCTTCTTTCCTCCCTCTCTCCCTCTGGTTCTCCTTCTACTCCACTGATTTACCTTGTATCTTCATAATATCTGATCCCTTCCCTCACCACTTTTCTTCCCTTATTTTGCTAGCTTCCTAATATGAGAGAAAACATTTGACTCTTGATTATTGAATCTGGCTTATTTCACTTAGCATGATTTCCCCCCCCCCATTTCCATCCATTTACGAACAACTGTCATTATTTTATTCTTCTTTATGGTTAAGTAGAACTCCATTGTGTGTATACTATAATTTCTTGATCCATTCATCTGTTGATGGACATCTGGGTTTGTTTAATAATTTTTCTATTATGAGTTGTGCTGCTATAAATACTAAAGTGTCTGCATCACTGTTGAGAGCCACAGTTTAGTCAGAATGACACCTGGCATTTTTGCCAAAGGGAATGGTTGAAAGGTGACCCTGCTCCGGGATTAGGGCGGCTCTGGGATTAGGGCGGATCCTGCTGGGAATAGGGTGGATCCTGCTGGGATTATGGCGGATCCTGCTGCCTTGGGCGCCTGCTACTTTGGAGTTCCCGTAGAGTTATCTCGGGGTTCTTCCAGAATTGGCGCGTGGAGCCCAGTGGAGGCAGTGTGTTCCCGGGAAGTGTGTGTAGAGGGCAGGTGAGAGTTCAGGGAATAAAGGTTGCTGTTTGAACCTACAAGGCTGTGTGGTGGCTCTGTTATTTTGTGCCCAGCCAGACTGCGGCAATCACTGTAGTATGCCAATTTTAGATCTTTTGGATAAATACTGAGGAATGGGATAGGTGGTTCAAATGGTAGTTCCATTCCTCGGTTTTGAAGAGTCTTTACACTACTTTCTATAGTGGTTGTACTAATTTCCAATCCCACCAGCAATGTATGAGTGTACTTTACCCCACATCCTCATCAGAATTTAAACTTAGCAATTCTAATTCTGACTGAGAAGAAATCTTAGTGTAGTTTTGACTTGCATTTTTCTGAACCATAGCATAGTTTTTAAGGAAGATTAAAAAACTGGATAAGAGATCTCCTCATGAAAAAACTCATTACTCATTTTAGGGCATGAAGAGATAAAAAATTTTAATTGATTAATACAGGGCACAATTTGTTGTGCACAAATTTTTATTTGTTGTTTATTTTATAAACAAATTGGTTAATCTTCTATGTTTATTTCTATAGCACGAAAGAACTCTCATCAGTTATATTAAACAAAGACTGTGTGTGTGTGTGTGTGTGTGTGTGTGAGAGAGAGAGAGAGAGAGAGAGAGAGAGAGAGATAACTGAGAAATTTTGGATGAAGGAATCATATATTTAACTTTTAAATATCTTTTAACTTATGTTTCATTATAATCTAGATAAAATTTGAAATGAAGAAACATCAATTTATGGCTATAATTTTGAAATAAAAAGAAATAATTTAATCCTCTATTCTTGAATTTCTTGAAACATCTCAGTTTAAGACTCAAAAACAGTTAAAACTTTAAAGTATTTCAGAAAAAGATTAGGTTTTTTTTTTATTTTACATTCTGTCATATAACATTTCAAAGAAACTAGCATCCTCACTTTTATGGTAAAATGAAGCCTGATATGATTTCTAATAATTCAGAAATAGGGAAAGCCAAATATACTCTTTGTCTTTAAGAACTGACCACTTATGACCCATGTCCTAAGTTAATCAGTGTTCATAGGTCATAAGAACAACCCTCCTCAGGGATGAACTACTTTCCATTATAAAATGGTCAAATCTGTGCATTGAGCTACTGCAATTGCAGGTGGACCTCTTTCTTTTGTCTTACAATATTTTGATTATGTAGATGGGAAATGACAAGCACATAGTTAGGTGCTGCTGTCTCTTGGAGGAAAGTTCATTGACGGTGATTTCTACAAACCACGGGTTTACCTTTGGTTTCTCTCTTATTCCAGCACAGAAGCAATCCCTGCCCCTTGTTAGAAGACAGCACAAATGAAAAATCAGCCACAGACGAGTAGTCAATAGTCTCTTGCCATAATACCTTCAGCTCCTTAATGATACCTCTTCCCTTCCACCACATCCAAGAGGGCCACTGCTGGCCCAATGGGTTTGCAGCTGGCCTCAGAAACCTAACATCCATACTGTTCCTGGGACTGGAGCCAACAGATTGGGTTCACAATAAAAGTCCACAGGCAGTTCAGGTTTTGTGAGTACAAGTTCACTCAAGCAGACAGTTAACAAACTCTCTTTCACTAATCCCTTCTTCATCACAATTAAAAAGGAAAAGTCCCCTGAGAAAACCTTTTAACCAGATTCAAAACCTGGCTTAGGGGTAACAAGAGCAAAATTGTTAATTTGCAGGTATAATTGCGGCCTTAAAATTATTTTTTTCACTGAATGAAAAACTCGCTATGGCAAGCATACAGTTGTATTTGAATATTTCTGAGAGAGATATCATTAAAATGTGATATGCTTTATAATTTGTCAGAAAGTCTGTATTTTGACATTATACCCACCATTAGCATTTTCTTCATGGCAGATTAAACCTTAAAGAATCTATATTTTCATGCCTTCATTCTCAGAGAAGCAGCACAAATTGAGTCATAAAATACAGGAATTCATAAATAAGAAAAAAAGATATAAAATACATAATAGAAATCTGGTTGTTATTTGAATTTTCTGAAGCATTAGAAGGTGTGAATCAGCTACTTTCTCCCAATCCACAGATGCATCTTATCAACAACAAAGACAGATTGTGTCACATGCTCTGCATGAAAATGAAGCTCCAGAAAGAATTATATTTCAAAGGATGTGAAATTACTATTTTAATTTATTTATTTTATTACCTATACTCTGATGCTTTCATTTGAGCATTTTATTGAATTAGCTCACAGGAAGGGAAGAGCTACAGCTAATACTTTGTTAGTTTAGTATGGGGGATTTTAATCATCAGATGAATCCATTGTACCTCCTCTTTCAGGCACAGGCATAAACAGAATGACTAATTGGGAGCAAAAGCCACACCATTAACTAATTACTAACCTTGTTCAAGTCACATAGCACCTCTGAGCTTCAATCTTTCCATATCTATAAATCTAGCAGCAAAATTTGTACCCGACTCAACCTGCTTTCTGTTTTGATCTCTTCATATATTCTTGTTGCTAAAATTCCTTCTTCTGTTCCTTCACTTCTAACAATTTAGACGATTCAACAATCTACAGTGCAAATAACAGGAAACAAAAATATAAATGCTACTCCAATCTTTTCTAGATTAGCACAGAACGAAATATTAACAAAAATCCTTAACACTGATTCTTGGGTATCTGAGATTGTTTGTGTTTTCCAGCTTCTAAAGCAGAGTTTTGAGATTTAGCTCATTGGGATGTCACTCCTTCCTAGGAATTGAAGCAAATCAGCCTCCTGGCACTGAATATTAACTCTAGCTTGGATATAAGATGCAATGGAGAACCAAGAACTGGTATGATAGTTCTTGTTTTAAAGTTTAATTTTAAGAAGGAAGAAAGAAATATGTTCCGGAATTAACCAAAAGGATGAATATCCATCCTCTTTTGATGAGAAGTGGATAATAAGAGAAAGGATAATTATGAATGAAAATGTCCTCCTCCCGACCTGAATTAATACAAGGAGGACATTTTACATTAATACAAGGCACCCAAAATTACTTCAGCCAATGAGATGGGGAAAAAAGTCTACTTTCAAGTCCATCTCTTCATTAAAAAAAAAATTGCTTTTTAAATTTCTTTTGTCCAGTCTGTTCTTTCCTCTCTCCCTCTCACCTCCTTCCATCTCTCCACTCCTCTTTCATTTTGTTTTACCCTAAAGTGTTCCTATGATTGTTCAGAATTATCCACTGTGAGGGAAGGAATAGTTCCAACATCTTTTGCCTCTCAACCAATCACAAAAGGTCTTTCAGTAGCAGTAATGTGAAGTATTTTCCCTTTTAGACTACAAATTGGTGACCTTTTCCTGTCAGGAACCAGACAGTAAATATCTTATGCTCTCTAGACTCTGTTGCAAGTGCTTGATTTTGTCATTGTAGCAGGAGAGCAGTCTCAAGCTACATGGGCATGGCTATGTTTCAATTAAACTTAATTTACAAAAACTGGCAGTGGACCCTGTTGCAAACAGTTGCATTCACTAGTGCAATAAAGGTGAAAAGATCAGAATTGGGATTTATGGTTTGCTTTCAATTTTTATGCATGAGGAAAAAGATGGAATAAATAAAAATATTCAAATACATGTTTTCATGCATTTCTATGGCTAAGTAGTTGCTTTCCTCTCCACCACCACCTTTCTTCTTTTAAGGCACCAAGCCCATAACCTGAGAAGTTGTCAGCTAGTCACATGTTGCAGAAGAACAATTTGCCCCATGCCATGGTACAGAATCAGTACCTTGCAAGGCAAGCCCTACCTCTGTCCTCCACTGCCTGCTTTAAAAGAGTTACCTCTATCCTTCACCTCTGCCATACAAAATTACATACAGAACAATTCAGAAGGGCTGTGGTGGCTTAATCTTCACAAGACATATTTAGGCTGTGGAGAGGATGAGAATGGGTCCGAGCTATTTAAATGTGTGCTTGTCTAGTGCACACTCTCTTTAGATCCTTTATCTAAAGACACAATGTTGCTTTATCAATGTTTCCAAAAATGTTTGTGAGAGATTTGCTGTATAAGAATAGCAGATCTTTTACTCTCTTTCTGCTTTTCTTCCTCAGTAATCCAGACTCAAAAAAGATTTGAAAAATTTCTTGCCACATATAACCATACCAATTACTCCCCACTTCCCTTAACTAGAAAAACACATGCTATAAATGGCACTTTGGTTGTACTTGCAACTACTATGCTGAATTGTGTAAGGTTAGTTCTAAGAAAACTGTTAGACTGATAATAATTGTGGAAATTTTTATATAACAGAATAATAATGTATTGCACATCATATCTTTATTCTTACTTTGGATGCCAAACTGAAGCATAGTATTTCTTATACACATTTCATGGACTTTGTTAAAATTTATTTTCTAAGTGTCCACTTCTTTGCAGTATTTATAATGTATAAACTACTTTTGAATATTCCTGGAAATAGGGATAATACACTTTTTTAATTAATTAATATTTTTGTCAGAAAGCTTTTGCTTAATGTAGCCAAATGTGTTTAAATGCAGGAAAAACCTTTAAAGGAAAGTCATTTAACTTACCTGAGTGCATACAGTTTGGAAAATAACCTAGGTAATTGTCTTGATGTAGTTTATTTGAGTGCTTAGTGGAATTCTGTTCTATTTACTATTGAATAGTTCATTGTGGCACTTGAAAAAAATTATTTAATTTCTTCTTAAATTTCCTAGATTTTAAATTTTGGGGGAAAATACATATTCTAACTCATTTGTTTGTGTAAGAATGAGGAACATTACCATGAGAAATAAGCCCAAAGTGTTGCATAGAGGATTTGCAGTAGTATATGATTCTGATCTGAAAGACAAATTGAAAATAGTACTCAAAATTGCTAACACATTCAGACCTTATGGTATGCTTATGTAGAAGATACACAACAATTTAACTGGATAATTTTGGTTTGTAAATACACACATTTTTCAAGACAAAACTAGTGTCTTCCAAATATTTTTCATACATATGAAGCAACCAAATTTATTTAATATCATTTTATTTAATCTCTCATTTGTATCTTTAATTTTCATTAGGAAATGATATATTCTACTGGATAAGGGTGCACTTTATAATTACATGTTCTCATATAAATAAGTCAACTCTTTGCTTAGTGATAATTTTACTCATTACATACTGATATATTAATCAAAGATTTATTTTTTACATTATTACTCATGTCTGATTTGTGAATATGTTTATGGGTTTATGGATTTTGTAAGGAGCATGAAGCCTTGATATATATTTCCACCGTTTTCAAGAACAATTATTGCACATATTTTATAATAATTTGTTTTTAAGTGTTTGTACTCACAAGTTACTCAATATTTCTGTACCAAAATGTCTTGCTTATACATGTCATTTAAAATAAACAGAAATGAAATCTTCATAAAATAGTAATGTACCAATGAAGAAAGATTTTAAAAAGTATGTTGGAACTCATCTTATATGCCATACTGTCACCTATGCTCCTATATGGAGATAGATTCCTTTTTTCCTAATGAGGAATGGAGTTGGACAGCATTTTCTAAAATATCAGAACAGTGTATCATTTTTGTTATCATTTAACAAACTAATCAATAGTTCATCATTTATGAGTGATTACCTTTAATATCTAGAATTGTATCTCCCTTGCCATTTGTTTTTGATTTTCCTTAAATAATCACCAAGAAGTTATTCCATTCTATTACATATTTTCCAGAAAGTTTGTTGACAACTTTTTAATAGAACTTGTAAAATCACCCTTTGTTGGACTGTTCATTCCTAAAATCTACTTAAACATATTAATGTATTTTTAAGTTCTCATAATTTCTTTTACCTGTTTTTGTGTTTTTAAAAATATGATTATTTCCCAATTGAAATTAAACATTTACTAATTCTTTAAAAAGTGCAACTTATTAATATTGTAAAATCAATTTCCCAGTCACAAGAAAATTGTGGCACAGCAGCTAGTTCAAAATGATTGGTACTTCAATTTTACCCAGCACTAAAGATTATTTGTCCAATTAATTAAGAGAACAGAGATACAAACTCAGATTCTCAGGAATAGGTAAGAGAGAGAAGGGCAAAAAATATTGACAATCTTAAACTTCTGAGAGAATTGTAAAATATTTCTATTTTAATTATTTGCAGTCTCTTGCTACTTGCCTTTGACATTATTTCTGTGTTTTGCTGTTCTGGAGAAGGTGAAGATAAATAATTTCATTTCTACTGAGTTACTGTGACTCCTACTTTGGGAGACTGGATGTAAGGTAACCTTGAGGAATTGAGACTGGCCAGGGAAGAATAAGGGGTTCTAACAGGCAAGACCCTGGCTTGTGTAAAAACAAGGGGTAATAACCAATGGCTTGTGCTTTCCTCTGTTTGCTCACAGGTAGTTTAACTCCTTGCCTTTACAAGTTTCCTGATCACACCCTGGGTCATGGGTTTCCTGCCCTCCACCAGCCTCTCTTGGCAGAGGACACCACAGTCGCTGAATTCAAGCAAGAACTCAGGCGGAAGAGCAAACTGGTTGAAGAACCAATAGACATGGATTCTCCAGAAATTCGAGAGCTTGAAAAGTTTGCCAATGAATTTAAAGTGAGGAGAATTAAGTTAGGTACGTGTTAAGAGCAAGGATTGTTAATATGACAATCCTACTCTCTCACTGTGAAATTTCTAATGCTCTGTTCAAAAGTCTAAGACAGTTCTCATCGTACATCTCTACTGCAGATTTCAGTTAGTCAAACTATGAAAATCTACAAAAAAAAAACATTATTTCCATGTAAATCCTTAATAGCCAAAAAACGTGTTTTTCTTTAATTTGTTTGTTTGGATTTTGTTGTTGTTGTTGTTTGTTTTTTAAGTAAAGGTACTGTTTTAAAACTTATCTAACTCAAGATTAGTTTGGGAGTGCCCTTTTGATCTATATTTTATGTGAACTTTTGAAGAGACCATACATTCACATGATTAAAAATTTCTGTTTACCAATGTTGTTAGTTTCTCCTGTATATTTCCAGATATCTTGTGCATATATAAATTAGCACATATTCTTTGATGCAGATTTATTTGGAAGAGTTTTGAGTTTTTTAGAGCTTTTATCCTTGTATGGATCTGTTGACTTCCATTTTATAAAATATACTACAACGTATTCTACAAAACCTCTTCTGGTATAATTTAGGTTTCTTATCATCTGCTGTCAAAAACAATGCCTAACTTTAACAATGCCCAAAGTTCTAACTTTAAATATGCATTTTATACCTATATAAATATATACATAAGAAAAATATATGATTAAAAATTTTAAATGCTGATTAAAAATTTTACTTGTAATAGATCTTTGTTGAACTAGTCTCCACAGAAATTGCACCAAATTTTACTACCACCAATAGTCTGTTTTGCCACCCTCACAATATAAGAAAATAGGTGTTAGGTGTTTTGTTTTGTTTTGTTTTTTTCTTATTTCTTTTTGTTTTGTCTTTAATAGTATATCCTCAGCATCTAGAACAGTGATAAGAATATAAAGTCAATAATGGTTGAAAAATATGCTATTAATCTTATCTTTCAAAACAAATAAGTAAAAATGACATCTCACGGTATTTTCCCCCACCCTTCTGTTTTAACAATGCTGGCGGTGGGGTGGGGGTGGGGGAGGAGTTGTACATGCTAGGCAAGCTCTCTACCACTGAGCTACATCCCCAATCCCTCTCATTTTAGTTTCATTTCAAATTTCTCCTTTGAGTGAGGCGTATTCTTTTACATATTTAATGCTCATTTGTATTTTGTTTTCTGGTGACAGTCTATTCAGAGCTATTGTTCATTTTCTATTGAAAAGTGTTTTTAACATAACAGCTATAACAATTAATTGTCATTAAAATTCATGAAGTAGTTTATTTTAAAAAGTAGAATGAAATGACAGTTTGAACTTGTGAAATGAATCAGAGAATTTTATAATGATACTTATTGATGGCATCATATGTAGTCACTTTGTAGGTATAGGTATATAGCTTTAGGCCCTGAAAATAATATGTAGTTACTAATGTAATAAACACAGCAGTAGAAATCTTTATGACATTCATTTTCAGTCTTCTGTTTGTATTGCTGTGAATGTTTCAAATTACATGTTGATGGTTTATTTTAGCTTGTATTCTAGAAATGTTTGGGACAGTCAATAAGGATCTTTTGCTTGGAGACAGAGCATTACCAAACAATATAATAAATGTGCTTGGATGTATGCATACAATGTATGATCATAACCTCACTATAGACATATTTTTAGGGAAAGTATACATATTTCTTAGTTTTATTTGGTACTTTTCAACAATATAGTTTAATATTTCACTCATGTTTGGAGTTAAAATATCTATGACATATTTTATGCATTATACTTGATATATTAATGTTTTTTATCATATATCATCAGATATTTAATAATCATGATAAAAGATAAGAATATTTTTCTTATAAATTATTTATAATACATCCATCCAACTTGACTAAATATTACAAATGGTAGATGTTCCCATATGAATTTTTTTAAATTTTTTTTTAGTCGTAGATGGACACAATATCTTTATCTATTTATTTTTATGCGGTGCTGAGGATGAAACCTAGTGCCTCACACATGCCAGGCAGGCACTCTACCACTGAGTGATAGCCCCAGCCCAGCCCCATATGAAATTTTTTGACTTTTAGAAAAAAAGCAATTCATTAATTAACAAGAAATATTTTTTGAAATACAGGACAATCCTATACTGATCCTTACTAAATAATTCTAAATTGTCAAAAATATATTATTTTTAAAAAGTAATAGTTGGCAAAGAAAGATGCACAAATATTTGTGATAATGAACCAAAACTGATGCTTTTTAAAAAGCTGAAGCTAATGATCTTTATTGCCCTTTCACAGGATACACCCAAACAAACGTTGGGGAAGCCCTGGCAGCTGTGCATGGCTCTGAATTCAGTCAGACAACCATCTGCAGATTTGAAAACCTACAACTCAGTTTTAAAAATGCATGCAAACTAAAAGCAATATTATCAAAATGGCTGGAGGAAGCTGAGCAAGTAGGAGGTACTAAAGCTAAATCCCTGAAGACTGTGCTGAGTTTTAATCTAAAGTATTTACTGCAAGTGGGAGGATTAATGCTAAAGCAAGAGGCTTGAGGTTTTCCTCCCCTTTTCTCTTTGAGAAGAAAAGTAAGCATCTTGTTACATCATAAAAAGAGACAGGAAGGAAGGGAGGAGTAAAGGAAGGAAGGAGGAAAAGAAGGAAAGAAGAAGGGGAAGAACAGTGCAAAGAAAGTATAGAAGTTTATTGAAGACAGAATAAGCTATATAAGGAAAACTCTTAGATAATGTAACATCAGAATGAAGTGGTAAAATATCTGAACACACCCAGATGTTTTACCTCTGTGCTCCACTGACTTAACAGTACATGAATACCTTTACAACCTAAAATTGGTATATGCAGAGCATTTGTACACACCAGTCTTCCAAATAAATAACATAAGGAATTTCTCAATGAGTAATTTAACATTTTTTAACATACTAATGTCAATGCTGGATATAGAGCAAGGTTTGAATATACTTATAGCAATGTTTGAACAAAAGTAAGGTGGGGATATGATTTGCAAAAACATTATATTTGCAAAGTTACTATTTGTTTCAACTTTTTTAAAAAAAATGGAATGTAAAATAAAATGGCAAAGACTGCAAAAATTGAAGACAAAAATGCAAAGTAATTTTATTTTTCATTGCTTCATGAAGAAAATAACAAATCCAAATATGATAGTTATTTTCTTTTAAATTGACTTTGTAATTATCTCTCTCTTCCACATTATAGCTTTGTACAATGAAAAAGTGGGAGCAAATGAAAGAAAAAGGAAACGGAGAACAACTATAAGGTATTACTTTACAATATTATTATAGGGAAAAAAAGATATTTTACAAATGGAATCATCATTTTAATATAGACACAACATAACATACATGTAAAATAAATAAAGTTGACTGAAGAAAAAAGATAGATTATAAAACAATTTAAAAACTTAATAGTGAGCAATAGAGAGCTGGTAATTTTTAACAGTTCATGAAAAATATATATTGTTTGATTCAAAATCATTTTAGTTTCAGAAATTTTGGATAAAAACAAAAACCAAATAATCACTTGTAAGAAAGTTCTAAGAGAACTTTTGTAGAAAATGTACTTGCTCTGATAGGACAGTTTCTATCTGACTAAAAATAACAAAACTAGCCATTTCAGTGTATTTCCGTCTTTAAACATTGAATATGACATCTTGCATTTCAACCCCAAAAGTTTGTTTGTTTTTTGTAATTTATGAGGGGCACACATATGGAAAATGACAGAAGACAGGTTTTGCTTCCATTGGTTAGTTGTTCACAAGATATTTTGTTTATTAAAAATAACCCAAACAATTTGGAGGAGGAGGGGGATATTTACAAATGCCTATTGTTCATTTCCTTTTTCAAGATTTTGGTGCCCTCCTGTGGCAATAAATGGAATAAACATAGAAAGGCTGGGACCCTCATTTATTTTTTCCTGTGGCATCAGTAATGCTCTCTGGAATACAATAAACAACTAAATGTTAACAAAATGTATTTTGTATTTGTAAGTGTTTAACCTTAGAGTTCTTTTTTCATATCAATATGTAAGAAATTCAACTTGATTTTGTTCTTCCAAAAAATTCACTAAAATCTACATAATCTCACTCTCACCCCTACCGCTCCATCCCAGTATTGCTGCTAAAGATGCTCTGGAGAGACACTTTGGAGAACAGAATAAACCTTCCTCTCAGGAGATCATGCGGATGGCTGAAGAACTGAATCTTGAGAAAGAAGTAGTAAGAGTTTGGTTTTGCAACCGAAGGCAGAGAGAAAAGAGGGTAAAGACAAGTCTGAATCAAAGTTTATTTTCTGTTTCTAAGGAGCATCTTGAGTGCAGATAAGAGTTCCTATTGTGTGACAGCCATTTTTTCCTTACTATTTTTCATTCTGTTCTCTTTCCCAACAAAAATAGAAATTAGGTACGTGGTTGACTTCAAATTTATTTTATACTTATGCAGTTCTGTGTTTTTTAAAAAATGAATTCAACAATTTAAATTATATTATTTTCTTTAAAATAATTATTCTCAGAAGCTACAATGTACATTGTAAACAAAAGATACTAATAGAAAAAAATGAGACTGCACACACATACAGACATCAGTTTGTATGTTTTTTTGTTTTAGTTTGAAACTTTTATTAAGACAGATTATTAGCTTTGTAATTTTTAATTGGTAATATATGTAAGGAATATGATCAGGGAAGAGCCAGTTAGAAGATTCATTAACATTGATTAATGAATTGGTTCTGCTGATCAGCAGAGATGTCTTAGAATTTTATTACTCCATGTAGGAATAAATTCAATCAGAACTGATGCCTTTGAATCTAATATTTATGGCACAGAGCCCACATAAGTCCTTCAAAAGAGATGTATAGAAACACAATGTAAAACCTTTTGATTTTCCCCAAACATTGGCTTTTTGATGTTCAGCTACAGAAAATACATGGGCTAGGAGTGTTGCTCAGTGGTAGAACACTTGCCTAGCATAACTGGCTTTGGGTTTGATCCCCAGCACTGCCAATTTTTTCTTTTTCTGTGTGTGTGTGTGTGTGTGTGTGTGTGTGTGTGTATACATTTTTAAGCTATACATAATTGAGCCCCAAACCATTAGTCTGTAAGCTGCAACAGGGCAGTGAAGGTATTTGGCTTCTTTGCTATTATTTCTCAAGTGCTTGGAAGGTGTTTGCTCATAATAGCATGTAATGTTTGTTAACAATGGCTACAAACATGAAGGGTGCTGTCTAATTTAAAAACTAAATCTATTTTTGAGATCTCACAATCCTGAACATCATCAGGGATCCTATAAAAAAGACAAGTCAATTGGTTAGAATCTGATTTATTATTAATAACAAAGTTTGATATTTGAGCTTTTAAATTCCAGTAATTGTATCTCAAAAAAAGACATTAACTTTTAAAAATAAACTTCTTTGAACTTGCAAGTAGAAGCAAACTGTAATATAATATAAATCTAGAATAGTCCATTTTTGGGGCATTTTGAATGTCTGCTGGCAATGTTACCTAACTTATTTTATATAACAATCTGGATATTGTTGACATAGAATGCTTACTTAATAAATTATTCTGTACAGCCTCCTATTTTTATATTATTAATCACTTAGAATAAGATCCTTTTATAGCTCATATATGTATATGTACAAATAATCCACAACCTTAATCTTACTAATAAACATAGATATGTTACCAAGAAGTTTTTGCATTTTAATTACAGATCTGCTGGTGACTTATGATCCAACCAAGCTGAAACACACATTTAGCACCTAATAAGTATTAGATTTTATACTTTTATTCAAGAGTAAATTCCAAATTATTCAGCCCTAAAGGTATTTTCTTTCTAGGTAACTCAGTATTTTACTGTCACCTATGTAAAAACCACATAGAGGAAGAGATTCTATAGTTTTCAAAAGAATCATCATATGTATATATGAACACATATACATGCAAAATTACATATATGTACTTTGAAAACTTAAAATAGAAACAATATAATGCAATATGAAACTAGATCAATGTTTTTGCATTTTAATTATAGATCTGCTGGTAATATTTAACATGATTTACTTTATATAATATAAACAAGATTTTATACACACCCACCCACACCCACTTTCTAATCATAAATTCATCCATAAGATCATACTTTTCAAATTAAGGTAAAACCAGCACTGTGAACTAATTATTACTACTCCCCCAGCAAAAAAAAAAAAAAAAAAAAAAAAAAGCAATTATCTTGCAATTATCTTGAAGGAATACTTGGTATGTCTTTAGGAATTCAGTGCATTCATCCATTAAAATAGAAAGGTCTGTTAATTATGCTGATACATTAAGCTTTACTTAGAGATGGTTGACAAACTGATTCATGTAACTTTCCATTTTTTGGAAAGGATTTATCTACTCAAAGAAATGTTTTTAGCATTGGGAGATGGGAAGGTGTGTGTATTTCAAGTCCTTGAGGGACCATGGAAGGTATTTTGGGGTGTCTGAAATCAGACTTCACAATACGTAGGTTTGCTTTTTTAAAAATTTTTTTATTTGTTGTTTTTAGTTATACATGACAGGAACTCAATTCAATTGACTCAAGGAACTAGGGTAGAAGAATGGCTGATAGAGAAGAAATAAGAAAGCTGATCTTTTTTCTGCAGCTGAGAAACTTTTCCATGCAGAGTAGCGGCATCAAAGAAGAAAGTCACTCCTTTTCATACTGGGACAAATTTTGTTTTGACATAGAAGTATCTAAAATAGTGGAATATATTTAAATTAGGTCCACAAGCATCAGGCTAGAAGTGGGGCAAGTGGATGTAGGGAATGTATTTTTGGCCAAAGGGGAAGTACAGGCTCCTATTGGCATTCAAATGGGAGTAACAAAATATAAAATCACAGTGTGGGTCAAATAACACAAAGCTCATAGATGGCTAGCTTCCTACTCCCATTCTATAGTGTCAAAATCCTGAGGCCCTTTCCACTAGCTCCTACCATAACCAAGCACTCATCTTAAGAGTATAAAGTACAGTCTGTGTAACACAATCATCCTGACAGATGGTCATTTTGTTTCCTAATACCAGGTGTTATCATCACGTGTACTGACATTTTCATACCCCCACATTCCAGTTCTCTGGTACTCTCAAATCTCCTCCATCCATGACATTTACATCTGGTAACAAAATGTGACATTGCACTGCCTCCCATTTGGTACCAGAGATTTTGCTGTTATTATTCTGCCCTCTCTATTGGCAACCCCTTGCAGCTTGAATATAAATGTTAAAAAAAAAAAAAAAATCCTATTACCAAGTTACAGAGAACAGGGTTTAAAAAATAAATAAATAAGCAACATTCATTAAGCTCAATCTATAAAAAACATCTTGCTCCTCAAAGGTCCAAAAGAAACTTCCAATATTTCGTAAAAGACAGAGTAACATTACAAATTTATAGTGATCGTAAATATGCCACTCAAAGCATTTTATATATGTAGCCATGTCAGAATGAGTATACTCTATTTTGAGTCCAAAATTCTGTGGTATCCACATTTAACAGAAATGAAAGCAATCGCAAGAATTATGAGCTTAAATATAAAACTTAAAATTTAGTCCTTGTAAACTCCAGTAAGAGATTATCAGAATAATTTAACATGAAACCACCACTTCTTAGGCTTACTCCATTCACAAACATCAATCCTGTACCAAATGCTAATTCTTAAAAAGACAACTTGTTTTGTTGTGAAAATGTTATGTAGCAGAGTTTTCCACTTTCCTTCCAAGAAAATAATAAAAAGCATTCTTTTGAAAATTACCAAACATCATAAGAATTCTAATTTTAGCAGAAGCCAAAAACAGAGTAAAAGAGATTTTTTAAAAAAAGGATAACAGTAATAAATCTTTATTCAGTTTTTTTAAACAAAATAGTTTAAAAAAACCAAAAGCCCCCACATGTAAACAAGAAATTAAAGTTAAATGGCATTATTATGTACATTCAAGAACCAAAACATGTTCTGGGTCAACATTCCATAATCCAGTAAATTATTTTGACTCATCTCTCTTCAGGGAAATTGTGAATATGTTCTTAGTAAACACAGTATGATTGATGGATTCTAAACTTAGATGGCTTAGTTTTCTGTTCCTTCCACAATTCACACATTACATGTATACTAGTCCTAAAATGTGACTTTGCCAACATCAGGCCAAATGTCCACCACCCCAAATCCACCAAGTTATACATAAACAACTCCAGAGTTTTTGTGGTAGGATGTGTCAGAATCCATATATTGTAACATTATTTTCAAAACTAAATTGAAAATTCTAACTATTGTTCTCTTATTCTCTGTATACATAAAACACCATAGCAATTACACCTCAGAGAATGCTAACATAGTAATACACACATAGGCAATCATTTCTGACAAAGTTGTTTATTTACCACCAACCCACCCAAAAAAAGTTAAGATTTTATTTTAAAAGTTTAGGTCAAGTATTGTCACAGTAGTTGTACAGTTGTACTTCATTAAGAATAATGCCTTCAATTTAGAGTATACATTAGAATATACATTAATTCAATTTAAATTAAACAGAAATTAAGTTACATGGAAGAAATCTCAGTTCTTGGAAGAAAGACCAAAATATACTATGGATTACTATGAAGCATTATGAATTCAGTGTCTTTGTTTCTATTATATTTAATTCACTTTCATAAGGTTTAGAAGAGAGCCTGGAAAACTGTTACAAGAGGCCTCAATTTTTAGTTTAAAATGAAATTCTTTTCTGCCAGGTAAAATAATTTAAAGATGAGCACAATATGTTTGTGCTGTTTAAGGCAGGTCCCAAGCACATTTTGAAAGGTAATAAACTTACCAACTAGAATGTTCTCCCAAAGGAAAAAAAAAGGAAAGAAAACCTCATGGCAGTTTTAAGACAGATGTTGAAACAGCACTGTTCTTTTTGATCATTTAAAAATAATTTGGCAGATGAACTGCCTATGGTCATAACACATAATCATTTACAAAGGACAAGCAACAGATACAGAATTAACGATATACATTTAATATTTTTACAAGTCTCTTTCTTAAGTTGGTGCCTAGTGGCATTTAACAAGAATTTTGTATTCTGTGTAAAAAGATATAGAACATAAACAGACACTAAGTAATAGTTATAATTTCTCTATGCCATGCAGAAAAGAAATCCAGTTTTACACATCATCACTCCTAAATAGTTCTAATTAAAATTCAAACTGTTTCCATTTTTGCATCATTGTTATTCTTTGGCAAGACTCAAAATGGCCATGGGTTAGGAAACAACTGTTCACTCATGGTTTTCATTTTTGCAAAATAAATGTGTTTTTGTAAAAAGAATCTGCACTGTGCTTGCTTTATACTAAATCAGTACACAAAAATATCATGACTTTTTGATTAATCTACTCCTAAGGCTTTGAGTTGCCGTTCAATCTCTTCATCGGAGATTGTAGCCTTTGAAGTAGAGGCAGATGGTAAACTTCGGGCAGCTGATGGAGCTTTGGCCATCTATAATAAAGAAACAAAAAGAGAAAAAAAAATTTTCATTTGCAAACACTTGGG